ATTTGAATAATTCAGGTAAAACATAAGAAGAAATTGAAATATTTGTGTTTTTTTTTTCCAAAATATTTCAATTCTTTCCAGTGGAGAGTCAGTAAATTATAGAACACTATGCATAATTAGATTTTAAATCACTGCAATTTAAACTAAAATTTCATCAGACCATGACAAAGAAGAGTTTATTTTAGAATTCATAATCATGTTTATTCTATTTACTTTTTGTATGTAGCTCAATCTTAAACATTAGATTATTAAAATGAATTCATTTCATCATAAAGTTCAAAGGCAATTCCTCATCTACTTACTTAGTCAACGTAAAAGTTTAATCCTAATAGAAATCAACATAAGATGGTTTCCATCAAATGCTATTTTCAATTTAAATGTATACAAATGCTTGAAAATAAACAAAGCATTGTGAAAGAGCTACTATATTAATGAAGCAGGCACTTGTCTAACAAATTAGGTGACATAGTATAAATGGTATGATATTGAAATAAGATGGTGGTTGTATCAAATAATAATTAAAATAAGGAATGTAATCATTGACAACTTACAAAAGTCAGACTGAGTATCATGTTTTACATGTATTGTATCTTAGGTATCACTATTTCCATTTAGATTAGCAAACTAAAACTAAGTTGAATGTATACATAAATTCTTATTTCATTTTTTCTTTTAATTTCTGAGTTAAAATTAAATGGTGAAATTAGTATGTGGCAATGTCAGAATTAATTCTAAATCCCACACATTACAGTCTATTGACTGAATTACTAAAAGTATCACTTTTTATTTGTACAGGTATTTTCACACTAAGGCAACATTCATTAATTTGGGTAGTTAGAAGATCTTGCTGGAAGTTTTAACTAATAATGTTACAAAAGTTAATGAAACAGAAATGTATCACTTTATGTTTTTTTACCTAGCTATTAAATCAATTACCAAGCAATTGTATTACTTAAAATTGTGTACTTTTAAAATGTTTTTGTTTTGTTTTCAGTACTGTTTAGGCTTTAGATAAGCTAAGTGTGCATTAACATTAGCCAATATACAAAATTCCTTTAAAAATCTCAAAAAAAATCTCAAAATGTCACAATAATGAAAGCCATATTTTGGAAGAAAATAGTGAGATATTTTAGTAACACTTCATCCTCTTTTAATAATTAATACAAAGTTATTAAATAAAAATAGTGTAGGAAATGTTCACACTGTTATTATTCAAATTCAGCTTTTAAACATTAGTGTTAGAAATTGTTATAAAAACAGGTGCATCTCTTTTTCTAAGCCACCCTTTTATTTTAGTGCAGTGATACAAGTGGTTCTAAGCTGCTGTGTGGAATATGACTCTACATCAATAAATCCATTATTGTTCATGATCTCCTTTCTGACTCTTTTTCTTTTCATTTTTCCAACCAACACTATTGTTTCAGCATAGAATATTCTTCTAAAAACTATTTATTCTGTCATGAAACATATGTTTAAAGTTCCGAGGAGTTCATATTTTTATATTTTTTCATTGCAGTAATATTGGTAAAATCATTGCATGTTGGAGTACGGTCCCTCTTCTGGTGATGTTACCTTACTGATCTAGGACTTCAGACCAGACACGTGTGTTGCTGAACTGCAACATGAGTCCATCACTCAACTCACTCAGCCCACTGAGATCAGTCCCGACGCACCACTGAGAACTACTGAGAAACTCACAATGAGCGTTCCTGACTCACAGAGCAGCAGAAATGAACGACCACAGAGTAACCTATGCAGAGGTGAAGCTGGCGAAGGGCTCGAAGAGACCCCCAGTGAAACCTCAAGACAGGAAAAGCTGCACCACAGGGATCGAGCAGGGAATAACCTACGCAGAATTAAATCTCCACAAATCCCGGGGTCCTCAGGAGAATGGCAAGTCCCTTCAATGCAAAGGTACAACATTCAGTTACATGCAGTGTATTCTCGGGGGTGCAGAGGGGT